CGTTCTCCCTCGTTCACATTTCATCTGTCCTCCGGGATCTGGATCTCCGCATTCTCCCTCGTTCACATTTCATCTGTCCTCCGGGATCTGGATCTCCGCGTTCTCCCTCGTTCACATTTCATCTGTCCTCCGGGATCTCCGCGTTCTCCCTCGTTCACATTTCATCTGTCCTCCGGGATCCGGATCTCCGCGTTCTCCCTCGTTCACATTTCATCTGTCCTCCGGGATCCGGATCTCCGCATTCTCCCTCGTTCACATTTCATCTGTCCTCCGGGATCCGGATCTCCGCATTCTCCCTCGTTCACATTTCATCTGTCCTCCGGGATCCGGATCTCCGCGTTCTCCCTCGTTCACATTTCATCTGTCCTCCGGGATCCGGATCTCTGCGTTCTCCCTCGTTCACATTTCATCTGTCCTCCGGGATCTCCGCGTTCTCCCTCGTTCACATTTCATCTGTCCTCCGGGATCCGGATCTCCGCATTCTCCCTCGTTCACATTTCATCTGTCCTCCGGGATCTGGATCTCCGCGTTCTCCCTCGTTCACATTTCATCTGTCCTCCGGGATCCGGATCTCCGCGTTCTCCCTCGTTCACATTTCATCTGTCCTCCGGGATCTCCGCGTTCTCCCTCGTTCACATTTCATCTGTCCTCCAGGATCTCCGCGTTCTCCCTCGTTCACATTTCATCTGTCCTCCGGGATCTGGATCTCCGCGTTCTCCCTCGTTCACATTTCATCTGTCCTCCGGGATCTCCGCGTTCTCCCTCGTTCACATTTCATCTGTCCTTCGGGATCCGGATCTCCGCGTTCTCCCTCGTTCACATTTCATCTGTCCTCCGGGATCTCCGCGTTCTCCCTCGTTCACATTTCATCTGTCCTCCGGGATCCGGATCTCCGCGTTCTCCCTCGTTCACATTTCATCTGTCCTCCGGGATCTGGATCTCCGCGTTCTCCCTCGTTCACATTTCATCTGTCCTCCAGGATCCGGATCTCCGCGTTCTCCTCATTCACATTTCATCTGTCCTCCAGGATCCAGATCTCCGCGTTCTCCCTCGTTCACATTTCCTCCCTGTGATGATCCCGCGTGCCCCACCCCCACCTCCTCGCCCAGCCGCTGGAATGTCCTCGCTGGATGTTGCCAGTCTGTGCGCTTGGCGGCGCCTCTGTGGCTTTTGCTGCGATATCCCGGCTTTCTCTGGCGTCTAAAACCCCCGGCCTGTCTGCTTTATACAGAGCGCGGAATAAACGCGAACGCGGGCGGCGATTCCAGATCCCATAGACTGACTGACTGTGGGACTGTGTTCAAAATCCGGAACTTTCCTCATAGAAGTGTATGGAGGATGCTATGAAATGGGAAGAAAAAAACAATGGTTTGCAGGTCATTAATTCATAAATAAGAGTCACAAAATAGACCCCCCCCAGCAACAGTAGATCCCCCAGTAACCAGAAAACAGAAACAGTCCCAGCAAAAACAGACCTCCTCCACGGCAACAGACCTCCCCCCACAACAACAGACCTCCCCCCGCGACCACAGACCTCCCCCGCGACAACAGACCTCCCCCCGCCTCTTCTCCCGGCTCCTCCTTTCTGTCGGGTCCCCCGCCTCTGCTCCCGGCTCCTCCTTTCTGTCGGGTCCCCCACCACCGCTCCTGGCTCCTCCTCTTCTCGGGTCCCCTACCGCCGCTCCTAGCTCCTCCTCCTTTCTGTCGGGGCCGCCACTCTCGGCTCCTCCTTTTAGTCGGGTCCCCCCGCCGCCACTCCCGGCTCCTCCTTTCTGTCGGGTCCCCCCGCCGCCACTCCCGGCTCCTCCTTTCTGTCGGGTCCCCCGCCTCTGCTCCCGGCTCCTCCTTTCTGTCGGGTCCCCCACCACCGCTCCTGGCTCCTCCTCTTCTCGGGTCCCCTACCGCCGCTCCTAGCTCCTCCACCTTTCTGTCGGGGCCGCCACTCTCGGCTCCTCCTTTTAGTCGGGTCCCCCCGCCGCCACTCCCGGCTCCTCCTTTCTGTCGGGTCCCCCCGCCGCCACTCCCGGCTCCTCCTTTCTGTCGGGTCCCCCGCCTCTGCTCCCGGCTCCTCCTTTCTGTCGGGTCCCCCGCCGCCGCTCCTGGCTCCTCCTTTCTGTCAAGTCCCCCGCCGCCGCTCCTAGCTCCTCCTGTCGGGTCCCCCGCCGCCGCTCCTGGCTCCTCCTTTCTGTCAGGTGCCCCCCAGGGGGCGGACTAACAACTCATGGGGCCCCCGGGCAATAGGGGATCATGGGGCCCCTATGTCCTTGCCCAAACTCAAAAAAGCCTATGAAAAAAGGTACCAGGGGCATCTCATGGGGCCCCCTACTGACCCCGGGCCCTCGGGCAGTGCCCGAGTTTCCAAATGGTCAGTCCGCCCCTGGTGCCCCCATATCAAGCAGCTTGCTGCCGAGCAGGCATGTTCCCAAGCTGCTGCTCTGTGTGTCCATTCACACACACAGCTGCGGCTTGGCCCCACCCCCTCTCTCCTCATTGGCTGGCTGTGATTGACAACAGCAGGAGCCAATGAGGAGGCAGAGACCTGGGAAAGACAAAGGGCTCAGGTAAGTCTTAGGGGGGCTGCTGCACACAGAAGGTTTTTTTACAACACATGCATTCTACACATGAAGGTAAAAAACCTTCTGTGTTCAGCTCCCCCCCCCCCAATGCTCACCTAAGCCCCCCCTTGATCCAGCATTGTGCACTGGAGTTTCAGCTATCCCCGGACTCTCTCTTCTGATTGGCTGAGACATCAGTGGGAGCCATTGGCCAATGAGGAGAAGGGGTGGGGCTGAGTCGTAGCTCCATGTGTGAATGGGCACATGGGGCAGCGGCTCGGGAGCACACCTGCTTGGGTGCCCCCCACAGCAAGCAGACAGAAAGGAGGAGCCAGGAGCTTCTCAGTGAATCTTCCCAGTGAATGGCTGTGCAGTAGGCTGTGTCAGGTCAAGTCTGATAATTGGAGGGCAGGCAGGCTGTTCTCCCAGCATAGCCAGAAAACTGACCACACTGGGATGGATGAACATCTGTGTCCAGTGTGGTCAGTTCTTAAGAGGAAAGCAGAGGGACTGGCGGGAACACCAAGAATTTCACACTAAGGAAGCAATACAGAGAGAAGAGGAGACTTCTTCATACCGGGACACGGGTGGGGCAGCCGGGCACAGAGCAGGGGGGGTTTGGGGGAGGGGGGATGGTTGGGTAATGTACTCTTTAAAGAGGATCTGTTGCTTTCCCATTCAGGGAGAAGTGACGGGTTCTCCTGATAGGACACCTACCACCCGCCCATGTGACACAACATGATGAGGTCACTTCTGTTCGGCAGAAGGTGGTCAAATCCGGTTTTTTCATTTCAGGTTTATATGAATTACTGAGAGTTAAGGAACGACTTTTCTCCCCCGTAGATTCTTTCACCTCGTGTGCTGGAGACACCCAGCAAATACGGCATTTTCTGCTGCCCCATTGCTGTATATGGAGTCCTACACCTCCCACTTCTCTTCTGACGTCATCAGGGGCTGCCTGGCTCTTCCTGGTCCCTGGCCCCCCGACTACAGCACATGTGCAGTGTGGTGGAGATTCCCTTGAAGTCTGCCAGGATGCATGACCTATCCCAGGAGGCTTCAGAGGTGGGGGGGTCAGTCTTGCCTTGGTGGGAGAGGCAGAAGTGCGGGTCCGGGTCCCAAAAAGAGTATTAACACTTTAAATGTCTACATGTGGCATGGGGGGGGGGGGTGGTAAAGTGGGGGAGGAAGAGTCAAGAGGGTGAAGGTCCACTATCAATGGGATCAGAAGGCAGTTCTCTGGGTGTCACCCTAGTGGAGGTGGCCGTGTCCTAACCAATGGGAGCCGTGTGTTGGGTCACTAGCGGTCCCCCTGTATTTGTATTGTACTCATGATATGGGGGAGATTCAGAATATATTAAACTCCTACTGTACACGCCTGACATGCACCCTACACGCCTGACATGCACCCTACACACCTGACATGCACCCTACCCACGCCTGACATGCACCGTACACGCCTGACATGCACCCTACACGCCTGACATGCACCCTACACGCCTGACATGCACCCTACACGCCTGACATGCACCGTACACGCCTGACATGCACCGCCTGACATACCCTACACGCCTGACATGCACCCTACACGCCTGACATGCACCCTACACGCCTGACATGCACCGCACACGCCTGACATGCACCGCACACGCCTGACATGCACCGCACACGCCTGACATGCACCCTACACGCCTGACATGCACCCTACACGCCTGACATGCACCGCACACGCCTGACATGCACCGCACACGCCTGACATGCACCCTACACGCCTGACATGCACCCTACACGCCTGACATGCACCCTACACGCCTGACATGCACCGCACACGCCTGACATGCACCGCACACGCCTGACATGCACCCTACACGCCTGACATGCACCCTACACGCCTGACATGCACCCTACACGCCTGACATGCACCGCACACGCCTGACATGCACCGCACACGCCTGACATGCACCGCACACGCCTGACATGCACCGCACACGCCTGACATGCACCGCACACGCCTGACATGCACCCTACACGCCTGACATGCACCGCACACGCCTGACATGCACCGCACACGCCTGACATGCACCGCACACGCCTGACATGCACCGCACACGCCTGACATGCACCGCACACGCCTGACATGCACCGTACACGCCTGACATGCACCGCACACGCCTGACATGCACCCTACACGCCTGACATGCACCCTACACGCCTGACATGCACCGCACACGCCTGACATGCACCGCACACGCCTGACATGCACCGCACACGCCTGAAATGCACCGCCTGACATGCACCCTACACGCCTGACATGCACCGCACACGCCTGACATGCACCGCACACGCCTGACATGCACCGTACACACCTGACATGCAGCATAGTCAGGTTCTGGCTTGCAGTTACTTCCTCAGCAAACCTTTCAGCTCTCTTCTTTCCTTCCTCAGTTCTGGGAAGTGATCAGCGATGAACTGGAATTGATCCCACTGGGAACTACGTCGGGGACTCGGACCTCCAGCTGGAGAGGATCAGCGTCTACTACAACGAGGCCTCCTGTAAGTCCCTGACATGTCCACACCGCTCTGGCCCCCTCTAGTGGACACATTGGTGCAATGCAGCCGGCAGTCAGTGAATCAGCACTAGAGCCATTAAACCAGCATTTCTAGACGTGGGATAGGCAGCCCCCCCTTTCTGATTGGCCGATTACTAAAGATTTGTTTTTCTTCCCTCCTCTACATGTTGGAAAAATGTGATCACCAGAGTGTTTCCAGCGTTTTCACTATTCCCCGCATTTATATCCCAGGACCCCGCATTCACTATATCTCCTCCCCGGACCCCGCATTCACTATATCCCAGGACCCCCGCATTCACTAATCCCAGGACCCCGCATTCACTATATCCCAGGACCCCGCATTCACTATATCCCCCTCCCCGACCCCGCATTTTCACTATATTCCCCCGGACCCCGCATTCACTATATCCCAGGACCCCGCATTCACTATATCCCCGGACCCCATTCACCTTCACTATATCCCCGGACCCCGCATTCACTATATCCCTATATCCCCGGACCCCGCAGGACCCCGCATTCACTATATCCCCGGACCCCGCATTCACTATATCCCCCCTCCCGGACCCCACATTCGCTCTCCCCGGACCCCGCATTCACTATTCTAGGACCCCCGCATTCACTATATCCCCCCCCCCCGCATTCACTATATCCCCGGACCCCGCATTCGCTCTCCCCGGACCCCGCATTCACTATATCCCAGGACCCTGCATTCACTATATCCCCCCTCCCCGGACCCCGCATTCACTATATCCCCCCCCCCCGGACCCCGCATTCGCTCTCCCCCGGACCCCGCATTCACTATATCCCCGGACCCCGCATTCACTATATCCCCCCTCCCCGGACCCCGCATTCACTATATCCCAGGACCCCGCATTCACTATATCCCCGGACCCCGCATTCACTATATCCCCGGACCCCGCATTCACTATATCCCAGGACCCCGCATCACTATATCCCAGGACCCCGCATTCACTATATCCCCGGACCCCGCATTCACTATATCCCCGACCCCGCATTCACTATATCCCCCTCCCCGGACCCCGCATTCACTATATCCCCGGACCCCGCATTCACTATATCCCCCCTCCCCGACCCCGCATTCACTATATCCCCGGACCCCGCATTCACTATATCCCCCCTCCCCGGACCCCGCATTCACTATATCCCCGGACCCCGCATTCGCCTCCCCCGGACCCCGCATTCACTATATCCCCGGACCCCGCATTCACTATATCCCCCTCCCCCGGACCCCGCATTCACTATATCCCAGGATCCCATTCACTCCCCGGACCCCGCATTCACTATATCCCCGGACCCCGCATTCACTATATCCCCCCTCCCCGGACCCCGCATTCACTATATCCCCGGACCCCGCATTCACTATATCTGATTTCCAACAGCCCATAAAACATGGAAATGCAATTATTTTAGTAAATATAAAATGCTAAATACCTTTTCTCATCAGTATATAGCAGTCTTATAACTTCTATCAGTACCCAGCAGAGCACTGCTTAAAACTTGTAGGGGGAGTTTTCTCTAGGAGGATGCAGAACCCCTGACCTCTGTCTGGACAGTACTGATTGGCCCTGTGCTGATCACATGCACTCTGCCAAGAAAAAAACAAAACAAAAACCCACTCTAGCAATACACACCAAACTGAGCATGTGCAGAGTGACTCCACAGGAAATAAGAGGGGGACACTGGAAGATGGGGAGGATCATAGAAGACAGGATCAAACAGCATTTTTACACAATACAGAGGATTAACCCCTTAGGTCCCTCAGTGAGTATAACAAGCACGCTTTCCTGCATCTACAGACTGATTGTACTGTTGGGGGTTCAGGAACACTTTAATTACAAATACAGAACTAAGCGGTGCTGCAGCCAATCTATGCGCACAAATGGACAAGTTAAAGTTCCACTTGATCAACATAAATGTGTTTTTTAGGCTTTGATAGGTTATGAAATGGTTAAACCCCCCCCCCCCCCCCCCCCCCCCCCCCCCATCCGGAGATGGCTTCTGTATATCAGAATTCCATACCTAACCACAAGAAAAGGTGATCCAGCGCTCCTCATTTCCACTCTACAAAGCAATAAAACCTGACAGAGCTACTAACACATCCGCACTCCACCCGAAAACAGACAAAAAAAAGAAACATTAAAAACGGTCCTTAGCGACAGTTTAATAACTGCCATTAGCAGAGGTTACTGGAGGTCATTTCCACACATACAGGATCCTTATCCAGGCGCATCTCGGTGTACAAACGCCGCGGTTAACGTAATTTTCGGTTTACGAATGAAAATCCCATGACAATAACGCCGCGGTTTACTCATTTTTTACTATTTTTTTCGCAATACGAAGTATATTTTTGAATGCAATTACCAGATTTTTTTTCTTCACTATCGCTCACAGGATTAGCTGTCACTTTCCCGGAGCTAAAGGAAACGGTTTCTTTTAACTTGGGGAAATAAACTCGCATAAGGGTCTGGAATGGATTTTGGGGGGGCTGCACACCATTTTTAAAAAAAATTTTTTAGCGTGGGAGTTCCCCTCAAAATCCATACCAGATCCAAAGGGCTTGGTATGGATGGGAGGGGGGGGGGGGCCCCATGTCATTTCCTAAAAAATGTTTGTAATTGCCGTCAAGTCTTCTACATTCAGCTGTCGGTGGGGAACCCCGCTGACGGCTGAAACATGAACACATGGTTGTCACTACTAAGACCTGATAATATAACTCCTGCGGTAGTTTAGTCGCGTTTACTTTTCTCTGACCTCCGGAACGGATTCCTTGGTTTCTCATCGCATTCCTATGGGAAACCGCGTTTCGGTTTACGTATTTTTCGCAATACGGAAAGTCGTACAGAACGCATTAAATTCGTAAACCGAGATATTACTGTATATGTAAGTGTCTGAAGGCCGTCTCTGCCGAGGAACCCGTTAGGTTCTCCCCAGGGGCGGACTGACAACTCCTGGGGCCCCGGGGCAATAGGGGATCATGGGGCCCCTGTATCCTTGCCCAAACTCAAAAAAGCCTATGAAAAAGGGTGGCATCTCATGGGGCCCCCTACTGACCCTGGGCCTCGGGCAGTGCCCCTGCTTCTCCCTGACTTGAAGGACTTGTCCCCTTTCCTACTGAAGACTGAGATCTGAGGCTGACCGTAGATTCGGCTTCTCTGTTTTTTCACCACATTTTCTCTTTGTACTTACAGCACACAAGTATGTACCGCGAGCCATCCTAGTAGACCTGGAACCCGGGACGATGGACAGCGTCCGCTCTGGAGCCTTTGGACATCTTTTCCGACCCGATAACTTCATATTCGGTATAACAGAAGTCTAGTTCTACTCTGCACTTGTTTGTCTTTTGCAGATTGTTTCCATCTGATTTTAAGAATGAACACCAGGAATGAACACCAGGAATGAACACCAGGAATGAACACCAGGAATGAACACCAGGAATGAACACCAGGAATGAACACCAGGAATGAACACCAGGAATGAAGACCAGGAATAGTACATAAAGCTAAAAAAAAAAAAAAAAAACACAAAACAAAACAACAATTATACACACACAGTATATAGTTACATAGTTAGTCTGGCTGAAAAAAGACAAAAGTCCATCCAGTTCAACCATTAAAAAAGAAAGAAACTAATCCTCCACCCACAGTTGATCCAGAGTAAGGAAAAAAATCCCAGCAAAGCACGATCCAATCTCCTCCTGCAGGGGGAAAAATTCCTTCCTGATCCCCCGAGAGGCAATCGGATATTCGGGATATAATGCCGGGATCAATAATCGGATATTGCCGGGATCAATAATCGGATATTTCCGGGATCAATAATCGGATATTGCCGGGATCAATAATCGGATATTGCCGGGATCAATAATCCCCAGGGATCAATAATCGGATTTCCGGGATCAATAATCGGATATTGCCGGGATCAATAATCGGATATTCCCGGGATCAATAATCGGATATTCCCGGGATCAATAATCGGATATTCCCCGGATATATATATTATGTATAAATTGTTTCACCTGCCATAGGCTTTGGGTTGATTTACTAAAGGCAAACTGGTTGTGCACTTTGCAAGGGAAATTGCCCCAGAGCTAAGTGAATAAGGGGAAGCTCTGCTGACTTCCATCATCCAATCAGGTGCAAGCACAAAATGCTGTTTTTATTTTCCTTGCCTGTGATTGGGTATTCTTTGCAAAGTGAAGCTTCACCTCATTTGCTAAGCTCTGGAACAATTGCACTTACAAAGTGCGCAGTCTATTTGGCCTTAGTAAAGCCACCCCACAGCGTTCAGCCAGTTTTGTGATCCAGGCATCCAGCAGCATCAGGTCAGTGTCCTCATTTTTCTCTGTGGCACTGAAGCCATACAGCTTGGTCACCATCCTGCCCCTGTCTGGTGATTGGACAATGAAGGGGAAGCAGCAGTCTGATGAGGTCATCACTCTGCTCTCTTGTACTGTAATGCTGGAATGGTTCATTGACAGTTGTGCACAACATGCTGGCCTTCCCTCCCCCACAGGACCAATATTCAGGCAGGTTCAGGTACTAATGCTGGTTCTATAGAAACATACATTACATTCTATTTAAGTTCACACCAATGTTACCCCTTTCTGCCCCTTTCCAGCTCGTTAGGAGGATCTACAACAACGCAGTCACGGTGCTGGAGGTGAGCAAAACTGAGCGCGCTCCCAGCACAGCAGAGGAACATATGTGGCAGCATGGGGTTCACACCACCTTCATGCCACCACATGTAAGTGTACAGGAGCAGGAAGGGGTGAAAAGTCACATTTTCAGGACACAAATGTATGATGAACCCTCTTGTGGACTCACCAATGGAAATGTATGGAAGCTCCATTTTGGTTAGTGGTAAGTTGTTCGGTTGGAAATAAGCAGCTTGGCCAGTCACAAGTTATTCCATTGATTTACCTTCCACATAGGCTGGTTGTCCCTCAAGAACCTTCAAATCCAATGACACCACCAGGGTCATACAGGCAGTCTACAGCTATCTGGTGTCATGCCACTTCAGTTTCTGTGCTGGGGAGGGAACATGGAAGGGAAGAACATAGAAAATTCCTTGTAGATGGCAGCAGAAAACCAAGAGCTCCAGTAGTAGAAGGCGAAAGTGTCAGTGACGAAAAATTCCTCTAGAGATGGGGGGGGGGGGAGGGGAGGTGGACCTTCATACCAAGGCTTCAAAGAGCAAAAACACACCACTCAGTTCCATCAACAATGGAGAACATTATTTGGGCAGAGGGGAGTTCCTGGTATATAGATGATGTGATCTACATTATACAGCCTTGGTCAGCAAGATGATGGATAATGGAGATCAGGCACCCCGGCCAGAAAGCACATCCAGTTCCTCAACCTCCAATGGAGCGTGGTAACAACAACCCCCAATACAGAACAGTTGGTGTTTCTTCTATCTGCCTTCAGTTTGGGGTTACATAGTTAGTCTGGCTGAAAAAAGACAAAAGTCCATCCAGTTCAACCATTAAAAAAAAAAAAGTTGATCCGGAGGAAGGCAAAAAAAAACCCAGCAAAGCACGATCCAATCTGCTCCTGCAGGGGAAACATTCCTTCCTGATCCCCCGAGAGGCAATCGGATATTCCCTGGATCAGCTTTCCCTATAAATGTTATATCCAGTTATATTCTGTGTATCCAAGAAAGAATCCAGGACTTTCCTACAGCAATCCACTGAGCTGGCCACACCCAACTCTGGAGGGAGTCTATTCCACATTCTCACAGCTCTTACTGTGAAGAAAAACCTTTCCGTGTTTGGAGATGACATTACTTTTCCTGCAGACAAAGAGCGCCCCCCTACCAATGACTCCAACGATGGGGCACAATTCGTCTCATTGAGATCAAAGATGGGGCATTGTTTACTCCGAATGATGAGGGACATTTTCTACTCCCGATGGCCACAGTCCGGCCCCCCTAAAGTCTGAAGGACAGTAAGCTGACCCTTTTTTTTAGAAAGTTTGGAGACTGCTGCTCTAGATCATCCATTAAAAAAAAAAGACGTTATAATCCTCCACCCACAGTTGGTCCAGAGGAAGGCAAAAAAAACCCAGTAAAGCACGATCCAATCTCCTCCTGCGGGGAAACATTCCTTCCTGACCCCCGAGAGGCAATCGGATATTCCCTGGATCAATAATCTGATATTCCCCGGGATCAATAATCTGATATTCCCGGGATCAATAATCGGATATTCCCTGGGATCAATAATCTGATATTCCCGGGATCCACGTTCCCTATAAATGTTATATCCAGTTATATTCTGTGTATCCAAGAAAGAATCCAGGACTTTCCTACAGCAATCCACTGATTGGCCACAACCAACTCTGGAGGGAGTCTATTCCACATTCTCACAGCTCTTACTGTGAAGAAACCTTTCCATGTTTGGAGATGACATTTCTTTTCCTCCAGATGTAAAGAGCGCCCCCTTGTCCTCTGTGATGACCTCAAAGGTGACCTCTGAGATGTCAGGACCATGAATGGTCTTCATGGGACTCACGTTCAGAAATGAGTGCACAGGAAATTGTCCCATTCCTTTTGGTATTTAACAAAATGTAGAAAATTAAATGGAACATTTGCAGATTATCTGATTTTTTTTTTTCCCCTCACACCTGTTCACCCCCCTATGGGGCAGAGAAAAGTCTACATTTCTGTTATGGACCCGTTTCCTTAGCGATATCCTTGTCATTATTAAAGATAACAAAATGACCCTAAAAATAGGATTGTGGGGCCAAGTGCTGTATAGATATTTACATGTGAAATGAAGGGTTTTTAATTGTGCGCTTAATGGAAAATGTGTTCAGCGGTACCTCAGTTTACGAATTTAATGCGTTCTCCGGGACTTCGTATAGCAAAACATTCGTTAATGAATTGAAAACTAATTAATCCGTTCCGAAGGTCAGAAAAAAGTAACAAAAAAAGTCTGATCTGTTCAACTCTTTATAAAGTGCACTTTAATGGCATAAATACTGTCCAGGAACATGATTACAAATTAATTCGTAAATGCATTGAAAACCAATTAATCCATTCCGGAGGTCAGAAAAAAAAAGCTAAAAAAAAAAAAGTTTTATCTGTTCCAAAAAATTTTTATAAAGGGCACTTTAAAGGCACAAAGGGACATGATTAAAAAAAAAAAAAAAATTGTAAATGCATTGAAAACCAATTAATTGTTCCATAGAGGTCAGAAAAAAGAAAAAAAAAAAAAAAAAACATTTTTCAAAACTCTTTATAAAATGCACTTTAAAGGCATAAATACTGTCCAGGGACTTTTAAAAAAATTTCCAGAATGGCTCCAAAACTCAATTAAAAAAACCGCTCCAACACCTCCACACTGGACGCCACGTGCCGCCCACAGACTCCAGCATGTGTGGGGCCGGTGCTAGAAACCTCCCAGGCTCAATGCATCCTGGGAAACTTGCTTTGTATTGTGAAAAAAAAAAAAAATTGGTAAAACCGAGGCATTATTTTCAATGGATTTTCATTCATAAATCAAAAATTACGTTAATCGTGGCGTTCGTACACCGAGGGACACCTCTACATTTATATTAATGGTGTAAATATATTACAAACACAACAAAAATAAAAAAAAGGTTGGATTACTAATTGTTAATGAAAAAAAGAAGGCGATAGGAAAAAAAATATTTGAAAGGAAAAAAGGAGAATAATTAGGGCTTAGAGTAAACGAAGGGTTAATAAGGGGCTAAACAGAGGAACATTTTATTTAAAAACAACATTTTTTACTTGTCAGGTTGCTTTAACGGACATCATATTCAGAAGTAATTATTATTATTATACAGGATTTATATATTATTATTATTATACAGGATTTATATAGTAATTATTATTATACAGGATTTATAGTAATTATTATTATTATTATACAGGATTTATATAGTAATTATTATTATACAGGATTTATATAGTAATTATTATTGTTATTATACAGGATTTATATAGTAATTATTATTATTACAGGATTTATATAGTAATTATTATTATTATTATACAGGATTTATATAGTAATTTATTATTATACAGGATTTATATAGTAATTATTATTATTATTATACAGGATTTATATAGTAAAAACTATTATTATACAGGATTTATATATTATTATTATTATACAGGATTTATATAGTAATTATTATTAAACTTATTATACAGGATTTATATAATTATTATTATTATTATACAGGATTTATATATTGTTATTATTATACAGGATTTATATAGTAATTATTATTATTATTATTATACAGGATTTATATAGTAATTATTATTATTATACAGGATTTATATAGTAATTATTATTATACATTATACAGGATTTATATAGTAATTATTATTATACAGGATTTATATAGTAATTATTATTATTATACAGGATTTATATAGTAATTATTATTATACAGGATTTTATATAGTAATTATTATTATTATTATTATTATACAGGATTTATATAGTAATTATTATTATTATTATTATACAGGATTTATATAGTAATTATTATTATATACAGGATTTATATAGTAATTATTATTATACAGGATATAGTATTATTATATTATATTATTATTTATTAGTAATTATTATTATTATACAGGATTTATATAGTAATTATTATTATTATTATACAGGATTTATATATAGTAATTATTATTATTATACAGGATTTTATATAGTAATTATTATTATACAGGATTTATATAGTTATTATTATTATTATTATACAGGATTTATATAGTAATTATATTATTATAAGGATTTATATACAGTTATTATCAGCGGATTTATATAGTTCATTATTATTATACAGGATTTTATATAGCGCCAACAGTTAGAGCGCTGTACAAGGATGGAGTGGAGTCTGGCTGCTCGTCCCCAATATATTAAATTCAAGAGAAAATGACCCCCATGGGACTTTAGTGTAGCAGACAAAACATTACACATTTTTATACAAATATATGAGTGATGTTTTGTCAGCTGAATTAACCCCTCACCCTCCAGAGGATTATACCCCCCCCCCCCCCCCCCCCCCCCCTCCTGACCAGGCCTTTTTTGCGTTACGGCGCTGCGTTACTTTAACTGACAATTGCGCAGTCATGCAACGCTGCACCCACATGGAATTTTATGTCCTTTTTTTCCCACAAATTGAGCTTTCTTTCGGTGGTATTTGATCACCTCTGCATTTTTTAGACCAACAATTTTGAAAAAAAACAATATTTTGGACTTTTTGCTATTAAACATCCAGTAAAATCACATTTCGTCATAAATTTCGGCCAAAATGTATTCTGCTCCGTGTCTTCGCTAAAAAAAAAAAAAATCCCAATACGTGTAAATTAATTGGCTGATGTGAAAGTTATAGCGTTTACAAATGGTGGTATAGATACTGGGTTTTTATTTTTTTTTTTACTAATAATGGTGGCGATCAGCGGACTGCAGCGAGCATTCTGACACTGGGGGGTGAACTATCTGGTGTCACTGACATCCCCAGTGACACCAATAAAGTGATTAGTGCTAAAAAAAAAAAAAGCCCTGACACTGTACTAATGGCACTGAGCAGGAAGGGGTTAATATGAGGGGTGATCAAAGGGTTAACTGTGTGCTGGGAGTGTTTTACTAGGGGGAAGGGGGTGTGTGCCTTACTGTAATCACACTGATCTGGATGGCTTGCTGTGCTGTGCAGTGTGCCTGAGCTGACAGGGAGGAGAACTGTTAGGAAACAAAACAGTCCACCTCCCCATCGGAGATGCTCAGTAATCACCGGTCGCCGGAGGGTAATCGCTGGCCGGGACCCAGTGATTGACAGCCGCAAATGGTGACACGGATAGGGCGTGCGCCCCCTACCTGGAAATGCAGAATCACATATATATACACATGATTTTGCGCATCCTGCCGCCCTGTAGCAGTATATCTGCTATAGGGCGGCGGGGGAAAGCGGTTACAGTCTCAAGGAGGTAATTTTTTCTTGAATACAAGTTCATTCCTTTGATCTGCAGATGAATGAATAGAAAGAATATAAAAGTAACAATATGTTACATTGCATCTTTCTATATTCCCATCTGAGCTGTGTTATTATAAACACTGATTCATGTCGCATTCTTGAGGGCTGCTGACACCTTCTCTGAGTATACAGTAATCCCAAGTCTGTATAATCAAAGCCGCCAATTACAGTATACTGGGTGGGGGGTCCCAGAAGCAGGGCAGGGAGAGCACTGGATGTGCTACACATGCCCTGTGTACATTGAAGTTTTTCTTGGGCATGTGTAACACGCCCAAAGTCCGCAGCTAGCTAAGAAACAGAAAACAGTTAGAAATCCAAGGAGGCAAAGATCCAATCAAATCAGTTTATTTTACATTCAGAATCCTAGCACTGTTAGATCTTGACATGCGACGAGCACTTTCTGTGCCAATACATTCATTTTTCGCTTTTGGAACATCTAGAAGCCCTGTGAAGCTTTTTTATTGCTGTCTGTGTCCCTACTGGTCACAAAAAGCTGAAAGTGGGGGGAAATCTCCCACCCAGGGAGCTGTAAAAAAACCATTTCCTAGCGGGGGGGGTAAAGGGTTGGACATTTTTGTTTTGTTTTTATTTTTTGGTTTCCTATTCCCAAGAATTTTCCCCTCATTTCCAGTCCACATGGCCATTGCCAGGAAAACGGCTCCATCTAAAACTAAAAACAATAGGAATGAGTTTTCTTTTTTTTTAATCAGATTTCGATATTAATGTGATTTTCTTTTTACATTTTTAGTATTCCAAAGCAGAACAATGATTTGAGGCTTCACACAAATTCCAGCATTAAAAATAAATTCTGCTGAAATGTGCCCAGTATTCATATCTTCTTACTCGTGGTCTTCTCTTCATTTTCTCCATCTCCAGGACAGAGTGGTGCCGGTAACAACTGGGCGAAGGGTCACTACACGGAAGGAGCTGAACTGGTGGACTCTGTATTAGATGTTGTGAGGAAGGAATGTGAAAACTGCGATTGCCTCCAAGGATTCCAGCTGACGCACTCTCTGGGTGGAGGCACTGGCTCTGGCATGGGCACTCTACTCATCAGTAAAGTCAGGGAGGAGTACCCAGATCGCATCATGAACACTTTTAGCGTAGTGCCTTCCCCGAAGGTGTCTGATACAGTAGTGGAGCCGTACAATGCTACATTGTCTATCCATCAACTGGTAGAAAAATACCGACGAGACCTACTGCATTGACAACGAGGCTTTATATGACATCTGCTTCCGCACCCTAAAACTAGCCACTCCAACCTACGGAGACCTTAACCACCTTGTCAGTGCCACCATGAGCGGGGTCACCACTTCCCTAAGGTTCCCTGGACAACTCAATGCCGATCTGCGTAAACTGGCAGTCAACATGGTACCCTTCCCACGTCTCCATTTCTTCATGCCTGGTTTTGCCCCCCTGACTGCCCGTGGCAGCCAACAGTATCGGGCACTCACTGTCCCTGAACTCACTCAGCAAATGTTTGACGCCAAGAATATGATGGCAGCCTGTGACCCGCGCCACGGACGGTACCTGACAGTGGCTACCGTCTTCCGTGGGCGCATGTCAATGAAGGAGGTGGACGAACAGATGCTGGCCATCCAGAGCAAGAACAGCAGCTACTTTGTAGAATGGATCCCCAACAATGTGAAAGTTGCCGTGTGTGACATTCCACCTCGTGGTCTCAAGATGTCCTCCACATTCATCGGCAACAGCACCGCCATACAAGAGCTTTTCAAACGCATCTCCGAGCAGTTCACTGCCATGTTCCGACGCAAAGCTTTCTTGCATTGGTACACCCGGAGAGGGTATGGACGAAATGGAGTTCACAGAAGCCGAAAGCAATATGAATGATCTTGTATCAGAGTACCAGCAGTACCAAGATGCCACAGCCGAAGAGGAGGGCGAGATGTACGAAGATGACGAGGAAGAATCTGAGGCTCAAGGAAAGTAAAAGCCATCCCAGGGCTAGAGTCCTCTGTTTGTGCCCCCCCCCCCAGGTTTAGGAGTCCTACTCATATTGCATCATGCATTGCTTCTGAGTTAGAATTATTATAGTCCCAGTCAGGATCAGAACCTCTACCCTTCATCTCCCTTATTTATTTAGCTCCCCGATGCCAAAACCGACAGAATTTACTTTGCACAGTGTGGTAATAGCAAAGGCAGAACTTATTGTGGACAGAGGCCCAGAAACCATTGCAGGACACTATGTATACAGACTTATTTCTTCTTTACCTGCCCCCCGGCCCTGAGATTGTGAAACCTCACGGTTGTGACACCATGTCAAGGTTTCTGTTCCTAGGTTCATTCTCCGTAGTTAAGGGATGGCCATGGGCACAGAAATCAGGCCATCACACGTCTGCCTGCCCTTACAGTCACAGTGGCCCTGAAGCTGACCTCTACCACTACAGGTTGAGGTCTGCCATTTTGTGACCACTAGTGGTAGCTCAAGGCATGGTGGAGCTGAGTTGATGGACTGGCCAGTTGAGGTCACTTTTAGGGTGTCCATGGCCTTTCAGGCAAGGGAGAGGTTACAACGTTAGTTAGGAGGAGGGTCAAGGGTGTAGAGTAGCAGAAGGCAAACTGAATGTGTTTTGAGTGAAAAGCAGAAAGCTTGAAGTCTAGAAATAGTATGACAACGCGTTCCAAGCAGGAAGAGCTGAAGTGGCGTGTACGTGTTCATAACTGCATGGATGGCAATAGGGATTTGTGTTCGCTGGGGGAGAACTCCGGCTCTCGACAAAGTGTTGCGTAGACTCTAGCGCCAGAGTCCCAGGTTTTACTCTGTGTCTTCATCTTTCTCTCGTAATGTTTGGTTTTATTTTTTTTTTTTTTGTTACGTGCTTTTATTTTTTATGTCAAGTTTATTGGATTATTTATTTTTAAATAACAAATAAACTTCCTGCTGTCCAACATGTGAGTGTGATGGACTCTATTTAAAAACACCGAACAAGCCGCTGAGTGTTCATCCGTAATGACGTGTACAGTAACATATCAGATGATCGGCACGCTGAATCGTTTATCAAGTCTGGGATCAGAGGCCGCTGATAGACGACAAGAAATTACAATTTGCAAAAAATGATTGAAAGGCCCTCTGATCTGCGAAGAAACAAAGAGCTCTTTGTAGGAAGTGCATGACCCGTGCGTGTACGGATGTGTATATCCACCTTCGCCGGACAGAAAAGAAACATTTTGTTTTTCATGTAACCCGGAACACTCGATTTTATGGCTCAAATTGGCAACTGAATTATAAAACCTAAGGCAAGGTTAAAATTAGCGCTTCTTATAAAACGTCAGTCAGATGTGCCTTGGAGGAAGAGGGAAAGTCTTCAAAAAGGCAAAAAAGTATATATTTTTGTAGTTTTGGAGGACGGCTCATACCTACCAGTTGGGCCTTACCTGGCGGGGGATAATGTAGATAAAGCGGATCTTCACCCTCTAGGACAGGGGTGTCAAACTGGCGGCCCTCCAGCTGTTGTCAAACTACAAGTCCCATCATGCCTCTGCCTTTGGGAGTCATGCTTGTAACTGTCACTTGCAATGCCTCATGGGACTTGTAGTTTGGCAACAGCTGGAGAAACCACCAGTGCTCTAGGCAATCTTCCCCCTCCCTCCTCTCCTTAAGTAGCGTGGTTTTATTTTTTTAACCTTTTTTTTTTCTAAAAATAAGTGTTCAGGCTGCCCTTTTGTGCACATCAATCGCCGAGGCCAGGGGTCTCCAAACTCCAAAGGGCCAGTTTACTGTCCTTCAGAGTTTAGGGAAGCTGGTCTGTGGCTGTTGGTAGTTGAAATTGTCCTGGTGTCAGTGGGAGTAAACAATGCATCTTTGGTGTCAGGGGGAGGAATAGTGCCCCATTTCTGGTGTCAGTGGGAGGAACAGTGCCCTATTGCTGGTGTCAGTTTGAGTGCCACATCATTGGTGTCAGTGGGAGGAATAGTTGTGCCCCATTGTTGGAGTAGTGGGCCCCATTGCTGATGTCCTTAGCATGAACTATGCCCCGTTGTTGGTGCCAGTTTGAGCACCTCATCATTGGGGTCAGTGGGAGGAATAGTGCCCTGTTTCTGGTGTCAGTGGGAGAAATAGGGCCCCATTGTTGGTGTCAGTGGGCCCCATTGCTGATGTCATTAGCAGGAACCATGCCCCATTGTTGGTGCCAGTTTGAGTGCCTCATCAGTGGGAGGAATAGTGCCATATTGTTGGTGTCAGTTTGAGTGCTTCATCATTGGTGTCAGTGGGAGAAATAGGGCCTCATTGTTGGTGTCAGTGAGCCCCATTGCTGATGTCATTAGCAGGAATTATGCCCCATTGTTGGTGTCAGTGGGAGGAAAAGTGCCTCAAGGGCCAGATAAAGGCAAGCAAAGGGCCACAGTTTGGAGACCACTGGCCTAGGCGAATGATGTGCACTATGTGCCCCTCCTGGTATTGCATGTCACGTAAACCCAGGAGGCAATGGGGATTGACTTACAAAAGGTAAATGGACTGCACTCAGCAAACGCAGTTTCCCCAGAACTTAGGTAATGAGGTAAAGCTTCACTTTGCAAAGAATACCCAATTACATGCAAGGAGAAAAACACTTCTTGCACATGATTGGATGATGGAAGTTGGTGGAGCCTCCCCTCATTTACTAAGCTATGGAGCAACTGCACTTGCAAAGTGCAGAGTTTAGTAAATCCATCCCCGAGTCTCAGGCCTAGTGGTGTCATCTGTAGACCCTGCTGGCTAATCCCAGAAAAGCCAGTGCCGACCCATGGAGGGGGACCTCAACAAAGAAGGATCGGGGCTGTAAAACCATTACACAGAGCAGGTAAGTATGACGCGTTTTTATTATTTCAAAAGAAAAAGAAGCTTTACAAAACCACATCAAAGTATAGAGAGATACACGTGTCTTCGTTGTATCAAGTCCTATATCCACCAGGCAAATCCTAGTCCATTCTTCTAGTTATCCAAAACTGCAGAAATCAATGCCAAGGCCCGTCATTGTCTACATTGCCCAGACATACACAAGTTCCATCCAACCAGGACCATTACACAAGGACTGTCCAGCCATGGGAAATGCGAAAATACTGAAAACCAAGTGTGCATCGAAATGAAAAACCAAGCGTGCATCGATCTGAAAGCCAAGCGTGCATCGATCTGAAAGCCAAGCGTGCATCGATCTGAAACAGAACACCAAGCGTGCATCGATCTGAAGACCAAGCGTGCATCGATCTGAAGACCAAGCGTGCATCGATCTGAAAAGCAAGCGTGCATCGATCTGAAAAGCAAGCGTGCATCGATCTGAAAAGCAAGCGTGCATCGATCTGAAAAAGCAAGCGTGCATCGATCTGAAAAGCAAGCGGTGCATCCATCTGAAAACCAAGCGTGCATCGATCTGAAAACCAAGCGTGCATCGATCTGAAAAACCAAGCGTGCATCGATCTGAAAAACCAAGCGTGCATCGATCTGAAAACCAAGCGTGCATCGATCTGAAAACCAAGCGTGCAGCGATCTGAAAACCAAGCGTGCATCGATCTGAAAACCAAGCGTGCATCGATCTGAAAACCAAGCGTGCAGCGATCTGAAAACCCAAGCGTGCATCGATCTGAAGACCAAGCGTGCATCCATCTGAAAACCAAGCTTGCATCGATCTGAAAACCAAGCGTGCATCGAAATGAAAACCAAGCGTGCATCGATCTGAAAACCAAGCGTGCATCGATCTGAAAACCAAGCGTGCATCGATCTGAAAACCAAGCGTGCATCGATCTGAAAACCAAGCGTGCATCGATCTGAAAACCAAGCGTGCATCAATCTTCTCTTTGCACACGCCTCAGCAAAAATGACTGAAAATCATAAATGCAGCTGCGGCACCATCAATCAATCACTGTATGTGTTGGTTCAGCCTTCCTCGATCTTTTTCCCAAAGGAATCCTTGAATGTGAGGCCTCAGAGGACTCGTGTTGTAAATGATATCCACAGCATGATAGGAGGTTGTAGATATAACAATGTGGTATATTGGACCCTCATGCAGCGGCTGGAGTGAGCCTACCCTCAGGGCAGACCGATGGTTACATCCTACAGCACTGTTAGGAAATGTTTTAGTAATAATCATGAATCGATAGACAACTGCAGGATCCAACGTCCCAAGGCCAAGGCCCATCATTGATCCGTCCATTGCCCAGACATACGTTCCATCCAACTAGGACCAAACACAAACCTCTTCCGCCATATGTACCGAGGACTGTCCAGCCACGGAATAAATATTCACAAGCGTACATTGGTCTTCTTTTCACTGACACCTCAAAAAATACTGAAAATAATAAATGTAACAAGACCCGCGCCGTCACATACTGTATATATTCATATGTTTGCACTGGAGGGTTGCTTCGACTCTTCTGTTCTGTTAGTCCAAAAAGCAGCTTGATGAGTGACAATGATGGTGTACGGGACTCCAGCCCCCTCCATTTACCACAATGGGATAGATTTTGTAAATTGCTTTTTTATTTTTTGGTGGTGTGGGGGGCCACACTTCCTCCCTTCTTGCCTAGGCACCTGTGCTGAAGGGCTCTGCTGGGCTTCAGGACCTGGCAAGTGCACAAGGATGGATCTCTTTTCCTGCGTACGTGTGAGTACAGCTCAATGTCTGGAAAGATGTGCCGCAGCTCTCTGTCAGGGCCAAGCCAGTTGAGAATGGCAGATGGGGGGGGGGGGGGGGGGTAGGGGAAATAACCAAAATCACGGACACTGAAGTTCCTCTCAGTTTGAAGACTACGTTGGCGATTCCATGGTTTGCAGTCTCTCTATTCTCCTCTAAGGGCCGCTCTGACGTGGCCAGGACCTAGGTTTTAGGCCATTTTCTTGCTGTAGGATGCACTGC